CTATTCCTATAAGTGATATATACATATAGAAAAAATTAGCTTTGTTCCAAATAACTTTAAATTTACCCCTTGTCTTGGTCCCAATAATAAATACTACATTTTTTTGTGATACTGGGATTGAAGTCAGGGCCTAGCACTCTACCACTGAGATACATCCCCAGCCCATAAATATTACTTTTCACAGGGATAATGAAATATAACCTTTTGAGTGAGTCCAAAGATCTAAAGAGTCATTTCTTTATGATGCACGTAAAGAATTAGTACTGAAAATGATAGTGGTAGAGAGAACTTACTGAGTCCATTCTATTCACCTGGGCTTGTTCCAAGAATCTCTCTAGCTTTGTTACATAACTGATGAAAAGCTACAGTATTATCTATTCAGATACAGTCTAAATATTTGAGGGCACACACTCATGTATCTCTTTCAGATCTTATTTAAACAATAATCTTTGTGATATTGACAATTAATGATTATAAAGCATTTGTAATATTTACAATTTTGTTTGCTTCTCTAGAGGTAAATCTAACTACTTTACAATCTACAGCTAGAATATATACATTATCAAGATGAAAGGCCAAGCAAACAGTGGACACTGTAAGTAGTTGATGAAGTTGATATATATGTATAATTTAAATATTATGTGCTTGTCTGTATTCATACATCATAGTAATTATAACAGTCTATCTCTATCTCCCAACACACTTGATTTATTTAGCAATATTATCTAAGAAATTTGGAGCCAAAATGCTTGTGAGCTATAAGATTTATGACTAGGGATTAAATAGATAAATCACCAAGGTAAAACTATCACTAAGCCTTATACTTCAGATGAAGGTTAAAGCAACCTTTAGTATTTTTTATTTCTTTTTTTCTCTGAAGAACCTGTGGATTTTTAAATTCCTTCTTTTGGATTATACATGAATATTCAGTTTATGCCTCAGCGTTCCTAACTCAGATTATAACAATAATTACAAACAAACATTTTAAAAGGATAGTTTCCCTAGATCATTGTTAATTGATTTTTTTCATGAAAACATTTAGGTAGCTACATTAAAATGAATTTTTCCCATCACAATTATGCACATAAACTATTATATATATATTTTAGATTGTTTTCACAGTGAAAGACTATATAACTCTAACCATAAAACTTGAAGTATTTATAAGACAACTAGATTGTCATTGATTCATCAAAATTAAATCTCAAATTTAAAACAGGCTACTATTCATATCCCAGTTGTACTACTAATGATAATATTATTATTTTGTTATTTAATAATTACGTAATATGGAAGCTTCTAAAAATTGAACAATCTCTAAATAATTGATGTTACTGGTGTTACTATTGTGCGGTTTATTTTTTTAAAAATCAACATTAATACAATACATAAAAATTGTAGTACATATACTTTAGGAAAAATCATCAATAGATACTGAGAGAATCCATTTGCAAAGGTCAATGCTGCTTTAATGTTTACTGAATTTATTTTTTATTCAGGAACAACACAATTAGAACCCATTATCTAAGTAGAAACACAGCAAATATAGAGGAAGAATGGGTCATACACTCCCGCAATTACCAAAGCAAGATTCTTTCCCTAATGGCTCCTCTTCATTTATAGTAATGGTCAGTCTTCATGGGAAATCTATAAGGTCTATGTATTCAATCAATTATATATTTTACAAATGTGTCAGGTTAGGAGTCACATAGCTCAGTGAATGGACAACTCTGCTGAACTGATGGCTATGCTAATACTGATGACGTTTTGGTGGAGAAGGAGATGTGCTGAGAAGGAATCCTCAGATATAATCCCTCCTCCCTTCTCAGCTGAATAGTACTGAGCAGTAGTTTTTGTGTATACATGTTTGCAGAATGCCATCCAACTGTGGTGAATGAGGGCACCCTGCGTGTGTGCCTAACCCTGCATGCGTACTACACATAGCAAGTTTTGTGTCTTACTGAACCAAGAGATGGTTGAGTAACCATTAATTATGAAGGGATTCATTAGATGTGTTCCCATATATTCATTATTTTCTAGTAGCTTTCTCTCTTGCCTCCTCCTCCTCCTCCTCCTTCTCTTTCTCCTTCTCCTCCTCCTTCTCCTTCTTCTTCTCCTTCTCCTTCTTCTTCTCCCACCATTTGTGATCAAAAGATATTCAATTTTGTGCCTGTCTCTGATGGTGCTTTAACCTCTGGAACTGTTTTGATCACTAATATACATGAAACCAATTTTTCATTTTCTCAGGGTCTTGCTAAACAATGTCACTTACCTGGTAGATACACTAATCACTTTTAGGGTTATCACTTGAAATTCAGGGTGTGGCTTTTTAAAAAAGCCTTTTGTGTGTACTATAGAGGACTGAGAGCACCTGGGCAATTTGATATGGATACTCTGTGAATCCTGAGCAAGTTACTGAACAACCAGCCCTCTGTTCACCATATTTTGTTCCTATTTTAAGCATTTCATATATTTTAGTTATGTAATTTTTACAGCAGCTCCATGAGCAGTCCAACAGTCATAACTGATGTAAGTTTGAAGAATGTGCCAAAGGACAGGCAGCTAAAAAATGTGGAACTTTACAGTGAACTAGAATTGAGACCATAATGCTGCTCAATTTCTGCTCAAAGGATTCATTTCATAATGTATAAAATGGGGGCAACAATATCTACCTAAATTATTTTTAAAATGAATTAACAAAATACAGTGCTTGATCCAAAGCCTAGAATATCATAGGCTGCTTTCATTAAATATTAGTTCTTCCTCTTCCTTCCCAAACAATGAGAAAGGAGGAAAATTCTGAAGGTAGAGAGGAGCACAAGGATTTTGTGTAGGCTGAGTAGTAGGAAGCAGAGTTGCAGGCAGGATTTTTAAACTCAATAACATAATTATCTTTAAAGTCTTCAGCTGTAGAACTCATTGAATTTACTAACAAAAGACCATTCTAAATAGGAGATTCTTGGGTAACAACTCGTATGATCCACTTGGTCAAGTCTTTCCATGAAAAGACCAGAGCAGAGATTGGACTTTAAAAATTATTTACAAGTTCTGTTCTGTGAACATTATCATTGATCGAGAGAATCAGTTGGAAAACACGTAGTATAATAAGAACTACTAAGCACAGAGATGTCCTTTAAGAGGGTTCTCCAAAGGAGAAATTTGTTTCATTTAAAATTATAGCTGGAGCTGGGCTTTTGCTCAGTAGGAGAGCATGTGCTTAGCGTGTCTGAGATCTTGGGTTCCAATCTCCAGCATGAAGAGTTACAATTAAATAAACAAAAGTAAATTGTGTACAATTACTTACTAGTAAAATTGTTGATTTTGTTCACTACATAGTATCCCTCATTTAAAAAACTTGGCTTCAAAGTCTATTTAAAATAGATTGCTGTACTTTTGTAAATTTTACTTACTAAAATAGAGGACTCTTGAAAATATAAGGGGAAGAAGGTAAAAGGTAAAGAGACCAGGCAACCAGAGTGTGTTCTATTTTTATTTTTTAAAATCTATTCCAAAGATTAGAGCTCTAGGACTATTCAAATAACTATAAAAAAAATAGTAATAAATTGTGTGAAATTTGCATTAAACATTTTCAAGATCTATATGATTTATAAAAGTTATAAGAGGGCAAGGAATATAGCTCAGTGGCATAAGTGTCTGCATGGCAAGCACAAGGTCCTGAGTTTGATTCCCAGTACTCCCCTCAAAAATAAAAAAAATTTAGAAAGTTATAAGAAAATATCGTTCATAGATCAGTACTCCTAAATCCATGATATAATGTGTCTCATTAAATAATTTTAAAGGATTCATATATAATTTAAGCACATATACATATAGGAGATAAATTATCTGAGAATTCAGGGACAGGATGGGTGCTTGAAGGTCAGTTGGATGAATTCCTCCATCTTATCTTTTGAGAGGTTTATGACTTTCCCGAGATTTACAAACAAATATCAGGAAGTAAAAACCCAAATGGTCAGCATATCAATGATCATGTGTCAGTATGTATGTATCCATACATGCCACGAATGTGTTTACATAAAATATGTCTTCTCTTTAGAAGTGGTTCAGAAATTAAAATTCAGTTCTATTTTTTGATGTTAAATCATCAAAACTAAAGCCCAGATATTAAAAATCCTTAAAAATAAAGTCATACCTTTAAACATTTTACATTTAAGAATCTCATGGTATCTTCCTGAAAATTTCATGTATCTATCTACGGTCTGTTTATTTGGACAAGAGAAAGAATACATGATATCAACAGCAAACTTGAAGAAATGCCTGCCAAACTCCTCAGTGTGGCAGGTCTGCTACTTACTTATTGGACGGGACATTGAGTGGACAGGTACAGGGCTGGCAATCATCAGAGGTCCCTTGAGTAGGGTCACCGTAGAAACCAGGAAGACATATATTGCAATAAGGCCCACCTGTGCGATCCTTACAGTTCTGAGGAAGAAATGTACACCAGGGTCCATTATTTTAGTCTCAAGCAGCAACACGTGGCCAAAAATAAGTCTACAAAGTCGTTAATCTGTTCCCTGACAGGTAGAGCAATTTCCCACATTAAATGGTCAATTTTACAACAGGGAAATAGCACTGAAAGTTAATTTAATATCTAGCTTATAAACTACTTGCTAGTTTCAGCATATGCATACTTACAAAAGGATGACTGAAATTCATTATAAATTTCTTCATTATGTAAATTTTTTCCTTTTCTTTTCTTTTGGGAATACGTGTATATGTGTGTGTGTGTGTGTGTGTGTGTGTGTGTGTGTGTGTGTGTTTGTGTTCTTATAGATCTGGAAGGACATTTTCCATTAAAATGGAGCTAAGTCTAGGTAAAAATCAATTGCTCAGCTTTAAACTGCTGATTTAATGAGAGCTGTAGCTAATCACACAGATCTCCCAGGATCATGCCCTGTAAGTTCAGACATTAATTTTGAATTTAGTGGACGCTGATGGTTTGGACAATGCTTCCCTATATTAGATCTGTGAAGACTTTGCTTGATTCATAATTAAAGGTCGAGGAAATTGAACAAATTTCAGCACATAGCATGGATAATGAAATCACAAGGCACCTATCAGTTTTCCTCAGACATTTTCAAAAGACTGAAATGACATTCTTAGACTCATGTACTTTTCAAAAATCAAAAGGAAGCTAAAATTGGCAATTTAGGATGTTTTCAAGCTCTGACATTCCAGCTTCACCATCAGCAAGTTGGAAGACATTTCCATTGGTAATTGGTAATATTTGATGTTTTCCAAATATTTTAAATTCTTTTCAAATTTATTTAGCAAAACATTCTAAAAGACAGTGTGAAAGTTAACTTCACTATTAGCAGTTGTCTAAATAAATATTAGGAAATATAAAACATGGATCAATTTAGGAAAAATTTTACCCTTTGGATCTTTATGTCACTTCCTTTCACTTTTCAAGTTTGGTTGAACTCCTCTGTTACCCTAAAATTTTTAATTTTTTTGTGTTTTGAAAAGTTATTTGTATACTATCATGTTGACATAAATAAAATTATATTGTCAACAACTTACGGAATTTAAAAATTAGGATCAGAAAACTGGCTATGCCTGATGAAGTATAAAAAAGTCTTTCTAGCTCATCTGAAAAATCTTGTGTCGCTCACAGAGGGCACTTCTCTTTAATTACTGATTTAAAAGAGAAAAAAATGTGGTGTATTTTTCACAATACCTCATTTTATCTTCATTCAGTGGAAACAAAAATACAATCTTAAAGCCCAAGTAGTTGTTGCAACCAGAACTATAAAACATTACACAACTGATATGATTAAATCAAAACTGGAAAAGAAAAGATTTAGGTTTCAGTCTGATAAGGTGGTTAAGTCTGCAGGTGACTTGGTGTACAAGTGCCTCTGATGTAATTGCTCCTATCACATATCACAACAATGGGAATCACTCAACCTTCTATTGTAGATTTAAATGTTTCCTTGGTCAGTTCAAATGTATTTTCAGTAAAAATGACTTTCAAACAGGTTCACATTTCAGCAGAGGTACGAATTTGTTCAGAAATAAAAAATGTATTTTGGTTCACTTAAAATCAGATATTCTTACAGCCAAGCTAGACCAAAAATCAACTTCTCTGTAAACTTCATAAATTATTTGTTTAATAATAGAAAAATATTCTCCTGAATAATAAAAAAGAAGCAATTAAGGTACAGGGTCAATAAAACAATAAGACACTAAGGGTGCCTTTAATATGTAATATTAAAATATTTTCTCCTTGTGGATCATCTCAGAATCAGAATGGTTAAAATGGTGTTTAACCATTTAATTATTTATATTATTTGAGACAAAGGTATTAATAAATCTCCAGGAAATATCTTATATGATCACATATTTTTCAGCTACCTGGGAAAACTCAGGTTTTTCTGTCTACATCATGAAAATGTCCAGAACCTCTTTATAATTTGAAGATGGACCCATGAAGATGGATGCACATCTGACTTTCCTAAATAATCCATATACTAGGTCTCATTAGCAGAAAGACACATATAGCACTGTCCCTTCCCTACTTTCTCTCAAAATTATGCTGAAATAAACTATCTTATTTGAAAACAAATGGCTTCCGTTGTTTGAAATATTGCATCATGAAATTGTCTTTAGGCATGATCTGCTTTCATCCTAATGAATTCTACTTGAGATATGACCATAGGGAACACTATAAACTTGATATGATGGCATAAATATTTTTGTATTTTTAGAGTTAAGTAAAGAAAAGCCACATTAGTTTTGAGCTGCATATTTCCTATTGCATGTTAATAGAGTGTTTAAAGGTAATTCAATATTTTCCCAAGGTACACTTGAAAAGACTACGCTATAATTAAAATGAAAATCACTTAGTCTTTTTATTTGTAAAAATGCCATTTGAAAAACTACTGATCCCAAATTAAGGCTATCGTGCTTTAAACTGCAATGCAATTAAACAAAATCTTATACATAGAAAACTGAAAATGTATCAGTAAACCTAAATGCCAAATTACATTGAAACAAAAGCCCTGATTTTTCATTTTGGATTTTTCCCAGAAGCTTTTAAGTAGAAAAGAAAGCGGGGGAGTGGTGAGGAAGAGAAACAGAACATTAAAAATTACAAACAACACAGTCTGCCTTGAGTTCTGCAGGGAAATGAGAGAATGATATCTTCCTAACCTGGCATCATTTCAGACGGTGTGTTCCCAAGACTAATGAGATAAGAAGCGCTGTTTGGAGCCTTATCCCATGCCAGACAATCATACAACCAGCACGCCCCTGAGTTAATCACAGTAGTCTGCTCAGAGTCATTCTCCAGCCTAAAGCTGACAGTAATGGAACGGGCTTTGCAGTTGCTAGACATTATTTTCCAGTTAAAAATATAGATTTAATTGTACAAGGAGAAACAACTCTTGTGATTATCTTTATATATTCATTATTTTAATCTAATGATGACACTTTGCATATAGTTAAATGTTCAAGTTTTTTTAAAAAAATATGTATTATGTCCTCACTTCAATGTGAAAAAAGTTAATTGCTAAAAGAGTGAATTATGTTTATTACAAAGATTATATTTTATACTTCTCCTATTATGGGGATATGAATCACTTCCTAGTTTGGAAGAACGGACTTTTGGTAGATTTATGGAAGGGACCTTGTATATTCATGGAGATATGTGGTCCAGCATTAGTTATGCTTTATCATGATAGATTTTATTTTAATTCTATTTTTAGACTAATATAACAAATACTTTTCCCAGGAAAAGTGTTTAGAAAGAGGAAAGAGCCCTAGAAGCTTGAAACTCATTTCGATAAAAAGGTATTTGTCAAATCACTTCTTGACTCAAGTGCTCCAAAGTAGTGACTACACTTCAGGATTGTTGAGCTGATGTCAGCGTTGCTGATCAGATCGGCTCCCCGAGGAGAAGTGCTCACCAGACATTCCCCCGTGAAGTCATCGCAGGATTCTGCATGACCAAAGCACCGGCAGGGTTCACAGATGCCGCCAAAAGCCGTGCCGTTAACCCTTCTGTGCCTGGGCCAACAGGACTGAAAGACAGATAAGGCTGCAGTGAGGCTTGGGTATTAGAACAGAGGCTCTATTTTTCTTTTTCTCCTGGTAATAGAAAATAACAGGTAGCAAACTCAGTAAATGTTCTTTGTCAAAGCTTAGCCATTATGGAAACATTACTGCAGCACTATGACTCCTCACATGGAAGCTCTGTACTGACCTGGGGATCATGGGCGGGTGTGAGATTAGAGGAAGCATGAGCTGGCTGTTTCTTCTGAAATGGCAAGATAAAGCACAGATATAAAGAACTGAAAGGTGACAGTCTCACAATAAAAAGCAGACGGGAATATAGAAGGAAAAGTACTAAAAAAGGCAGTAGACATAAAAGCGTTCTCAGAGTATCAGCCTAAGAGAGCAGCTAATGTCTTCCCAAGCAATTTGGATTCTCTGGCACCTGCTCCATTGCACATGCTGACTTGACTGCCCTTAAATCCTTCTCTCTCAGGAAACCTTTGCAATCATTTGCGGGACAGAGAGCAGCCCCTCCCTACTTTTGATACTATACACAACTCATTTCTAAATATGTAATTTATATATTTCATTCTCGATTTTTCTTCCTGCTTTGCTTTCCGAAATGTAAGCAGAATACTTTAAGAATTACTTACTCTACATTCTCATTTCCTTGAGAGTTTATTTGATGGTGTTATTCTACAATAACTTTGCTTACATTCATCACTGCTCTTTAAAATGTGAAACACTCTATTATATGAATTCTGATTAGAACAGGATATATAGGTCTTAGATTACTTATATGTCAGTGCCTGCTCTGGGTCCACCAACAGCCTTAATTAATTTTCCCTTCTAGGGGATTTCTGTAAACTGAATGAGATGTACAATAATTGCAAGGTGAATGCTACTGCCCCTTTGGAATATATGATTCTCTCTAGTTGTAATTTTGTGGATTATTTACTCTATTTCTGGATGGTGAGATACAACACTATATATCATATAAAGCCCTTTTTCTAGTTGAAAATGGAAACAAGACAGAACTAGTGAAGTAATAAAGTATACAGAACTGTATTCTGTGCTGTTGGAAACAGTCCTTGTGCCTCAGGATATAAGAACTCTTCAATTCAAACATCAATAACAAACACATGCGGGAAGGATGTGCAGATATTTCATACCTGAAAATGAAATCAACTTTTCTCTGAACTTGACCATGACCGAAAAACTTTCCATTTTCTACACATTTTCAATAATTTCTCTTATTACATTTTTTTGCTTCTATTGATTCTGTATAGAAGTGATTTCCTTTTGCAATAGATATTTTTAGAAACTGATAAAGTTACTTAGACAGAAAAGAGCAAAAACTTAAGGATATTGAAAATGGAGAGAGAACAGATGTATTGTTTGCAAAGCAGACATTCAGGGAGTTTTCCTTCGTATATATTTTTAATATTTTGAAATGTACTGCTCAGATCTCATCTTCTTTCCTCAAGTTTCACAACTGCTTACATCGCTCTCCCAGCCAGTGCTTTTGCCTCAATAGTCACAGGAAAAATCAAAGCTATCAGAAGCCATCCTCCTGCTGCTAAGCCAACAAATAAGCAATGCTCTCCACATTTTGCCAATTTTCCCCCAGGAATAAATGGAGTGGGGAATGTGGGATCCTTTTCCTTTCTAAAGGAAAATGATTCTACCGGTATTAGGGATTCTAGTGTGGGTTGTCTTTTCACTGTTCCCTCAAACTGCTGCATGATAAAAGCTTTCTTTTTAGTTGAATACTTATAATCATCTCAAAAAGTGATCTACTATCTCCATCAAAAATTAACCAACAGAAATAACAAAAATGAGAAAATTATCCCCTTAACAATATATACTGCTTCTAGCCACTTTCTTTTCTTTTCAGCAAAACTGCACCAAAACATCTTCTTCTCCAATTTCCTTGTACACTTAACTCCACGCTAACCTGACTTTGCCCACTCAGTTAAGACTTTGCTTGTCTTTGTCATCAAATTCCAGGTTGCCAAACCCAATTGGCCATCCTACAATTGTCTTTTATCTGACTTCTCATCATCATCAGGTCTCGCTGCCTTCTTTCTGAAAGAACTTCTTCATTCAGTGTCCTTGACAATCACCTTCCCCAAGCTTCTGTGTTTCCTCTGATGTCTTCTCTGACACTGCTCACGTTCAGCAACCTCTCGGGGGTTGAGCCAGGTCATTTCTCTCTTCTTGTCACACTTTCTCTTTAGTAATTATCTAGTTTGACCATTTGAAGCCTTCCGAGTTCTTATCAGGGCAAGTGCACAGGCTGAGTTCAAACCTTGTATCTTCCATCTGTATTCCATCTGGAGTTTACACTTCTCAGTCTTTCTGAGCCTGATATTTCTAAAAGGCACTGCTGATCCTCCCCTTTACCAGCCCAGCATTCTCCAGTTCAATCAGTGGTACCATGTCCACTGTTCAGTTTTTCATACCAGTAAATTATTCTCTTCTCATATGCAGTGTGTCAATAGGTTCTATTGGTTCTACTAACTTCCAGGCTTTGTACCTCCTCTTTTCCCGTCCAATCTTTGCATTCTCACCCCTGGGGCCTCCATGTGATGCTGTTTCTTTTACCTGGTATTTTAAGGACCATGTGTATATTGCTCATCACATTATCCTCCATGCTGAGTGCCTTGATTGTCTTAAAATACACATTCATCAAATGTTAGCTAAGCAAATGTACCAACACTTCTATGAGGTAGTTACCATTAACTCCATCATATAGAAGAGGGAACAGATTTGGTATAAAACTTTAATACTTCATTTTTCTTTTACTTCCTCAACTTTCAAGCAAAATGAATTATGATAGTACTGGGAAAAGAAGAAAATATTTAAATATTAACTGTACAGCAATTTGTTAGATATTGTGATGGTTGAGTATAATTATAATTTGATTGGCTGGGGAGCTTCCCAGGAGATTAGTAAAGAGTATTTCAGCATGTGTCTAGGTAGCTCACAGAAACAGGACCTTGGGTGCTATATCTAGTCCCTGTCCTCTTCCACCCTGGCAGTGTTTCCCTGCTTGGCTTCCTAGCTACCATGAAGTAAGCACCTTGTTTCACTATATTCTTCCACCATGATATTTCTGCCTTGGAGACAGAGGCCATGGACTAGGCCCTCTGAAACTGTGAGCTTCCTTCTTTAATGTATGTTGGGTATTTGGTCCCAGTGACAAAAAATTGGTTAATACAAATGTCAAGTACAAATGAGACAAGAAAAGAAAGATTCTGAATCAATATTGTGGCCCTAAATGAAGTAAAACAGAATGATTATAATTATGATGGCATAATTTGATTTGTTTTAGGATAGAGTAAGTTTGTATAAAGATATAATTGTCTTTATAGTTTACTAGCATTGACGTTATCCTAGGATTCTAGTGAAAACAAAGCTAGAATGACTAACCTTATGAACTAAGCTTAATTTAAAAAATTAGGATGTGACGGGACTGGGTAATACTGAGTATAGAGACAGAAATTTTTTTCTTTTTTGAGACTGGGTCTCATTATGAAGTTCAAGCTGGCTTTGAGCTAGCTTATGTAGCCTAGGTGGCCTTGAACTTCCAGTGACCCTCCTGCCTCAGCCTCCCGAGTGCTGAGATTACAAGTGTGCAATACCATGCCTGCCAAGACAGGAACTTTTGATAAAGAATTAAAGGAAGGGCCAGGGATATGGTGCAGTGGCACATTGCATGTCTGGCAAGCATGAGGTCCTGAGTTCGATTAACAGTACCAAAAGAAAAAAAAATCAAAGGAATTTTTAGAGAGTAAAAGAAATGAAGTCATTGTCCCCTGATTTGACTAAACTTTTCATGTATTTTAAAGTACTTTGGTTTTTAGACAATTATTTTGTGAGAGGTACAAGAAGCTTGTATCATCCTTCCTCTTCTTCTTTGTTCTTTCCATACTTGCCTGTCCCTCTCTATCTCTCATCATTATTTAGCATCTTTAGGGTATTTCTCCAACATCTCTGTTCGTTAGAATAGCATAGAGCTTGGAGTGATAATTGCTTTTGTGACATGTACCATTTATCAGTCCTTTAATTACAGAGTGCTGTGACCCAAATTTTCATAGGTATTTGTTTGTGTCTCTGAATAGATCACTAGTTCTTTGAGACTAGACTTATATACTTAAAGATTGTCTTATAGAATTAAAATTTACACAGATAAATTTATACAGTTTATCAAACATGTACAGAATTTTTGAAAAACATTTTTGAAGAAGGAAAACAGAAACAAAGCATAGCCAAATAAATGATTCTAATATTCAGACAATTTAGACTCAAGGAGCATTTGGTTCTTATATAAAAGATCATAAAGAAGACAACAATATGGAGTATATTTAAGCAAGAATAGAATTAAAATATTTACTATTCCAATTGAAATAGGAATTTAAAACTTCAAAGGGATGTCTCTCTCTGGAAATCAAAACTGGAAGACTGGAACAAAAGAATATTTCTTCAAATACAATATGTACTTTATATATAAAATGAAATTTGGGTTGACATTGGTAATGCATATCCTTGACTACTACTTTTCTCTTTCTTCTAAAGATTTTGAAAAAGCAAATACTTCAAAGAATTACATTTGGTATTACTTTTAGATAGGCAAATCCTAGCCCCGTTAAAGAAAACACATTTGTCATGGATATGACTCTAAACTCTGCATTTTTTGGAAGAATGCAATATTTTAAAGTACAAGAGAACTGACAAAGCTATGCCTGGAGTATTGATATAAATGGCATAATAGGGCAGTATTCTAAAGTAGAACACCTTGGCACACTTAAATCATTTCCTAAAGGCACCATTTTAAAAAATTTAAGTTTTTATTTATATGCAACCATTTCTCCTTATGAAGGAAACGGTGTTTACATTTTTTGACCAGATTTCAAGTAAAATCAATTTTAAACTACCTAAAATGAAATACAGTTAAATAAATAAAAATCATCCCGTTACATGGTACATTGTATTATTAAGAAATATTAATTATAAACCTACAGTACAAAGTCAACAATAACTATGTCAGATTTTAGTTGATAACAAATCAGTGAACAATAAGGAATCTTCCAGAGCAAGGCAATTCTTCCACATCCTGTATTCTTGATATTTTAAGCACTGTATGTCTCCCATGATGAAACGTGGTTATATTCTTAGAAACTAGGTACAAGAAAATTGTCATACACAGAAATAAAAATGGGAGAAAAATAAAAAGAAGTGTATTAAATTCTGCATAGCCACTGAAGTGAAATAAAGTGGTATTTTGAGAAGTTATTCTGCTATCATCCGGTATGCAATGGATTAAACAGGAAAGAAAAAATTACGGAGCATCAAATTTTCATTATAATAATGCAAAATACAGCAAAAGGAAACATAATTTCAGAATGAGATTTAAAAGATACGATTTTTTGATAGACACTCAACACTATCGTTTGTTAACACAATTCCCATGGGAAAAAGATCCACCTCTTTTTGGAACATTCTATGGACGGCACTGCTGGATGAACCGAGGCCTTATTCAGGCAAACTTACTTCACAGGAGGAGCCGGCATACCCTGGGGGACACTGGCAAACTTCCACAGCGGAAGCCACACTTCCGTCAGTTGGAGAGGGGACTGCAGACTCCAGGCTGACCTCGCTCATCCTAGGAAAAAGGGAATAAGAAAGGTGAGCAACTAATCCGGGTAGCACAGAGCTGCAGTAAAGGTCCAGCCAGAGCCATTTCGCATGAGGCAATCATCCACTCTGAGAAGGAAGTCTCATGGATAGATATCCACAACTCCACTATCGCTGGTTATGCAATCAGACCTTGCGATCCATGGGCCCTACATCCTTAGATTCAATGAACTGTGGATTGAAAATATTTGGGGAAATTTTTATATGTACAGAACACGTATAGACTTGAGTAATATCAGTAGAGAATAAAATCAATTTCCAAGGCATTTACATTGTATTGGGTCTTATAGACAATCAAGAGATGACTGAAAATGCATGAGAAGATTGTAGAGTTAAGTACAAACAAATACTACACCATTACACGATTGAGCATCTGTGGGCGGGGGATCCACTGGAGTCCTGTACTTATTCCCTGAGGACAGTGAGCACAGATTGTGTTAAGGTAAATCTGCTCATGTAGAAGTGCTGATTTCACCACCATAGAAATACTGGAACGATATGAGAACATTCCTCCTCATTTCCTGATTCCTAGCAATGTGTTTTAATTTTTGGTTTGGAGGGGTAGGTAGACTTTGAAAACATATAGTTGAAAGAATTTTTGAAAAGCAAATACTCTCCCAACTGATTATTTTAACATTTAAATTCAAAAAGCGGGTGACAGTATGTGGTGTGATCAAACAATGCAATGAATACTTAAAGTTCCAAAAAATATATTCTTTCAGTAAAAGACATTAGTCCCCCTCAAAATACTCTCCCTCCCTTCAGTCACGTTTATCCCATCATTCTTGCCATTTTCTGAAGCAGTTCCGGCAATTCTCTTTCGTGAGTGTCTTTAATTGTGCTATCGTGGCTGCCCTGAGGACCTGAATCAATTTAAAAAGTTTACCTCCCGTGGTGACTGTGACTTTGGGGAAGAGCTCCTAGTTGCAGAGTGCCAGATCCAGTGAATATGATAGATGAGGACACACTGTAATGCTTTTCAGAGCCTACCTCTCTCCTGGAGGGTATTGGCAGTATTTTCCTTCACACTTCACAGAAGCACTCAGGAAAGGGAAACTTCTAGAACCGCTTCAGAAAGTGGCAAAAATTCAAGGTGAGGGAGAGTACTTTTAGAGAGATTAATAGCAAGGTATCTTTTCATGTAATATTTTTATTTAAACACACACTATAATTATTGATCAGTCTTTGTAGTAATCTTAAATCTCAGACTTCCAATTGAAGTAAAGGATGGAAGTAATTTTGGTTTCTATTTCCGGAGATAAAGCGCATGTTGGTAGTAAGTACAAGTGAAACTTTCCCACATGCTCATTTGAGTTAGTTAGAGCTATTTTCTTAAATTGCTTTTGGCCTAAATTAAATCATTACTTCCCATATGTATGGGCTTCATTTTATTGGTATTTCTGTACCATCTGGTGATTTTAGCAGAGTGATTTAGCATCAGTTATTATTTTAGAGAAAAACTGGTTTGACCAAATTGCAAATTAAAAAAATTCTGTTTGTATCATCAATGCATACAAATAAATACATATTTGTTTCATTAATACACATTTAAAAATTTTAAAAAGAGTTATATTTTTTACTGGCTTTTCTCTATTCTTACAAAAGAGTGTATTACGAAAAGCTTTATTGTGAAGAGCACAGTTTTCACATAACACGGGATAGTGCTATGGAATATGTATGAGTTCACACATCAAGAGGTGAAAAGGAATCTAAACTGAAATCTTAGAACAGAGTCAAGCAGACAACAATTCACATCATAGCTGTGAAATTTATTAGCTTTGTGGCCTAGGAAAAAGTATTTATCGTGTTGAAGGTTCAAAGTTCACATCTGCACAATGGGGATAACATGACAGTGCATACCCCACGAACTTGGTTAAATAAAATAATAAATATAAAGCTCTTACTACAATATATATCACACATTGGCGGCTATTAAACACTACATATTTTACTCATATATTTTCATTGATTGTTGAAACAGAATAAAAATGACTAGTACAGAAAAAATTAATTGAACTACTTGTAAACCCAAATTATTTGGCAATGTTAAATAAACTCTTGAAGCACAAAGTTAAATGAATACTTAAAGCAATTAGGCAAAGGAAAGAAAAAATGTATCAACTTATCGCTGCCTGGATATGATATGATTCTATGTACAGAAAAGATGGCAGGACCCCCCAAAGACTGATGAGACAGATAAATGAATCAAGTAAAGTTGCAGAACACAAAATTAGCATACAAAAATCAGAATATTTTTATGCACCATTAAAAAGATTGCTGAGAAAGAAATAATGAAAACAATCTCTGATCTTGGATTTCCAGCCTCCATAACAGGGAGAAATAAATTTTTATTGCTCATTGAAAAAAAAATCAACCAAACAAAAGACTAAATGATTGCTACTGCTTCAACAATACTAATCATTGGTTTTAAAAATGATTGCTGAAACTTCATAACACATATTAGGGAATTCTGTAACCTAGGAACGTTTTCAACCCACTCTTTGCAAGGGCATACATTTTGACTTTCTTTTTCATGACTGATATTAGATTTTTACTGATTAGAGAATCCACAATTATGAAAGAATTTGGCAGATTTGGAGCTCTGTACTGTAATCAAGCTGGGGCAAGGCTAAAGGGTTTATTACAAGGTTAAAATGTGTTTTCAAAAGTGTAAACCTGTTAACAACATATTACGCATTTCAGCAAGAAGATTCTACAATGTTTATTGCTTTCTCTTCCACTTTCTTAATCCCAGGCTTTGGACACTACTGTGGAATATGTACGAATTCACATAGCAAGAAGAAGAAAAGGGATCTAAACCAAAATCTTAGAAGACAGTCCTGAGGGATAACCAGCATCCTCCAAAGACCAGGACATAATCTTTAATGCCAGACAAACTTGCCCTACAGCACTTCTTGAATGCTTTCTTTTCTAGGGGCATGGCATGTACATCCCTGTAAAAGGTTCTAGAGCAAGGGCATTAAAAGTCGCTGTTTTGCAGTGCTTATGTTACATGGGTAATTTGAAAATCAGAAATCAGAAATGATCTCCTTCCCCCACCAAGTAACCTTATTCATAATAAGATGTAGCTCCCTAAGAATTGTTTTTTCTTTTTATTGTTAAATATGAAATCCACACAAGAAAATCAACCATTTAAAGGGTACAATTCTTTGTCTTCTAGTACTTTTTTTTTTTTTTT